ATAATAATAATAATAATAATAATAATAATAATAATAATAATAATAATAATAATAATAATAATAATAATAATTATAATCAATAATTATAGGTCAAAGGCGCCTATTCAATTGATGTTAGCGAAAATTATATCGTTTGTGCTTGCACTAATGGGATTGTTAGATTATTTGAACCAGTCACATTAAAGTATTTGGGTACTTTACCGAAACCACATCCTTTGGGGGTTGATTTGACTTTACAGACAGGAACCACTTATAATGGAACTGGTGATCCCAATGACTCATATCCCGATACATTGGCATTAAAGTTAGATACGGAAACTGGAAAATTAACATGTATCTATAGTGATCGTAGCCTTTTTATATGGGATATCAAAGATGTTAAAAAGATGGGAAAATATAGAAGTTTTCTTTATCATTGTGATACTATCTGGGGTGTGGAGGTAAAAATTATTAATTATTAAGAATCATATTTTTTTTTATTTTATTTTTTTTATAATATTTATTATATATTATACTTATTTTTATTACATATTATATTTATTTTTATTTTATTTTATTTTTTTTTTAAAAAAAAAAAAAACTTTTTTTAGATGGTACCAGATCGTGATCCTAATTCAACTTCTGAAAGTATTCTACCTGAAAATACTTTCGTAACTTATTCTGCTGATAGTACTATACGTTTTTGGAATCTGGATGGTACAAATTCTGCAACAAATCAAAATTCAACTTCTACTCATGGCATCAAAAGAAACATTTATAGCAAAGAATGTCTAAAAATTGTTTATGTGGATCCCGATGGTTCATATAGATCAAGTGCAGTGATCAATAAAAATGATCAACCTGGTGAGGTTTATTTATGATATTTTGTATTGTTCATTTATTTATTTTATTATTTATTTTTTTTTAATTTAATTTAATTTTATTTATTGACTAGATTCAACTGACCAGTCTACTTCAGCACCTGTAGAATTGGGTATTCGAACTTTAAAAATTAGTCCAGATGGAAAATTAATGGCATCTGGAGATCGTGGAGGAAATTTAAGGTGTGATTTATTTTACTTTTTAATTATTTTTGCTTTTTAAATTATTTTTAAATTTATTAATTCCTTTATTTCCTTTATTTCAGGGTACATGATCTTGATACTTTTGAAGAACTTACGTATCAAGAAGCACATGATGCTGAAATCCTAACAATTGAATTCACTGATGGTCGCATACCAGGTTAATTAGTTAAAAAGAACTTGAAAGAATTCTTATTATAACTTCTTATTAATTATTATTATTATTATTATTATTATTAATTAATTAATTAATTAAATTTCTTACAAATATTTTAGATGCTCCATACTTGATTGCCACAGCAAGTCGTGATAGAATATTACATGTCTTTGATATTAATACTAATTATCAATTAATTCAAACATTGGATGATCATTCCTCTTCAATTACAGCTATTAAGTTTACAAATGATGGTGGGAGATTAATTAGTTGCGGCGCTGATAAAAGTATAATATTCAGAAGTCGGCAGAATGTATTTTATAAACTTCTTTTATAAAATTATAAAACATGATAATTTTGTAAACATGAATTTTCTCATTTTCCCTTTTATCAATTCTTTTTTTTTCTTTTTTTTTTTTAGAACGGTAACTTTCCTTATTTTGTGACATATCATAATATATCCGGAAGAGCAACTGTATTCGACATGGATATCGATGTATCAAATCGTTATATAGGTACGGTTTCTGGTGAACGTCGGTTAAATGTTTTTCAAATTGAAACAGGTAAAAATGTGAGAAGCTATAAATCAGATACTCCAGATGAGGTCAATGCTGCGGATCAAGGAAGTTTGTTAAGGATTTCTTTGGATCCTGGTGGTGTATACGCTGTAACCGGAGGTTCAGATAAGAGTGTCCGTTTATTTGATTTTGCTACTGGAACGATACTAGGAAAAGTGTTAGGACATTCAGAATTAATCACATGTGTTAAATTTACTCCTGATTGTGAACGTGTTATTTCAACATCAGCAGATGGTTGTATATTTGTATGGAAAATATCCGATGAATTGGTTTCTAAAATGCGTCAAAAATGGTTGAATAGAAGTGGTGTTGGTAGAACTTCACCGGTTATGAAAGATTATCTTTCATCACCACAATTATCATCATCTCCAATTTCACCGATAATACGGGCAACCACAATGCCTGCACAAAGACCTCAATCAATTATGTTAGATCTTCAACAACAAAGTGAGAGTGTTAATGGAAGGGCACAGGACTTTACTGTTCGTAGTAAAAATAATAAGAGTTCAAGTAACTTGAAGGTCAAAAAATCTTATTCATCTCTTATAACATTGGATACGCAAATTGATGATAACACAAAAAAATTGGGAGGTACTTTGAGAAGACCCGTTTCATTTGCCAATGATGGATCATCACAACCCAAACCTATTCAATTATCAACAACATCAACACCTAGACCTATATCTGAATTTTCACCAACTCGAATACCTACAACAAAATCACCACCTCCGAATAGTCCTTTATCTGATACATCTTTATTAGTTACTCCGCCAAATACACCTATTTCACCAAATATGGTAAGAAGAGAATCATGGAAAATTGGTCTCCCTAATTGGGCGAAAAAGGCATTCAAAGAAAAAGATGCCGAAAATTCGTCAACAAACGTTGTGAACAATGACAATGTGAATAACAATATAAACAATAATGTAAAAAATGATGTATTTAATGTTAGTGATAATTCATTTAACGTTGAAAAGAAATTATTTAACGCAACAAGACCTCTCAACAAAACCAAATCGCAAAGTAAATTGCGTCAGGATTTAACAATCCAATTTTTAAGTGAAGAAAATAATGACCAAGGATTTACTTCAATGACAGATAATGTAATATTTGATGACTCCCTTCCGATATCAGATAGTTCTCCAAATTTAGATGAAGTTGATGAAGATGAAGATGAAGATGAAGATGTAAATTCACCCATTGATGATGATTCTAATGAAGATGCGGAAACAATATTTGTAGAATCTCAAGGAGAGGAAGAATATGAGGAATATATTGTAGATAATGAAAATACTCCTACTCCAAAACTAAGACGCAAGAGTAGTTTTGTGGGAAGTATTAAAACTGTAGAATTTGCCGGAGATCGCCCAAAATCTCCCTCTGGAAGTGAAAAGGAAATTGATGTAGATGATAATACTGAAGATAATGAAAATGAAGTTGATGAAGATGATGAAAGTGCTGAAGAGAATGTTCAAAAATTAGAGATGTTTTTGGCAACTCATCTAAAACCTGATGCAATTGACAAATCTAATTTGACAGATAACGATCATTTGACTAAAGACCTTTGCACGAAAAAACGTCAAAGCTTGACCACAAAGTTTTATTCTGTTAATCCAAGACAATTACAAGATTCTAGTGATTGTGATGATGGTTTGCTTGATTCAATTAAGAAACTTATATTAAAATCAGAACCAGGAGAAAGTATTCCAAAAGAGAATTCTTCTACGGAAGATATTGAAAAGACTTTAGAAGTTTTAGAAGGAAAGAAAGTAGAGGTGGTGAACCAGGTAAATAAAGATGGTTCTTTAATAAGACAGATGGAGGCTATCACATCCGCCAAGGACCCCTCGAGTAATGATCAAAAGGACCTTGAGGAGAATAAGGAGACAATTGATGATGATGAAATTAAAGTCATTGAAAATAAAGGAGATGGATTGGGTATTATAATTACTGAAATTACTGAAGAACGTGAAGAAGATAATGAGAAAAAAACCATTATTAAGTCTGATGATGGTTAGTTTCTTTCTTTTTTTTAAAAATTTTTTTTTTTTTTAAAATTAATTATTTCTTTTTATCTATCTTTAGCTCCTATTACTCGAAATAACACAATTGCTTCGGATGATCAATTAAATGAAGATAATGTTATGGACGATTTGTTGAATATGACTATTCTTTTGGAAAGAACGCTTAATGCATACAAAAAGGCTTCAAATAATGAAAGCATGGCAAAATTGATATCTGATAGTTTACTAAATATGATGGATGATATAAGTAAAAGCATCAATATTGAAAGGCAATCCAATAACGAGAATCATGATAATAGTAATAATTGTCTTAAAGAAGAAGAAATTAATCGTAAGAGTGTCAATAATGATAAACAATTCATGAATGACAATGATAATAAAGATAGCAATTATCATGAAGAGGAAGAAAATGATTCAAATAATTCTTACTACACAGCGATTACATCTCATAGTAACGAAAATGAATTATCACCAAACATTAATAACATTAATAAAAGTAATTTAATGTCAATGTCACCGCCATCTAAACCAAATTTACAATTATCAGAAGAAGTTATGTATGATTTTTTGGAGAAGTATTCCGAATTATTGATAAAGACAGTTGATGAAAAAATTACTGCAAAATTCACCCCTACATTAGTAACCAAATCAAGCATTGATGAATTAGGAAGTAATTGTATTAATACAAATTTGTCTTCTAAATCAACCAAATCTATCAAAGGTTCAATACCAGTTGGAATTAGTAAAAACAAATTTTCAAAGTCAAGATTTGTTTAAGGTGATTGTTATTTATTTATTATTTATTTATTTGTTATTTATTTGATATTAGAATGTATAGATCAGTATTTTTTATATTATTATATCAATTGGTACGATGATAATTTATTATTTAATTTTTTGTATATTTAAGAATATTTTTTCATTAATTGAAATATACCATTTTTCAATTTTACATTTCAAGAAAAAAAAAAGAACACAATAACAATAATAATGAAAAAAAAAAATAAAAATATATTTGTGTCTTTGATCATTTTTTTTCAAGTGTATCTCCACTTATTTTTGGAAAATATTAAATATTTTGGATTTAATTCGCAAATAAATCTTTCAAATAATTAAAACATTGCTATACTCTCCTTTTAATTCTTGCATTTTCTTTCAAAGAATAAATTAAGAAAGAAGTTGGTATATACATAAGAACAAAGAATATACGAAGTGCAGAGTTTACAACTCGAATTTGGGCTTTTTAAAATTAATAATTATTTTCTATCTTTATTGATTAATAATAGAAGAGAACATAACATAATATTATTGAATTAATTATATTTCATATGAAAATACAAATAATAATGATAGAAGCTCATTTATCAATTCTACAGGTTACAAATAAATAATAAATAATTAAAATTTTGAAATTTTTAATGCTACAATTATAATCTATTAGACTTAGAACAAAACAATTGAGTTACCCAAAGGTTGGGCTCTCAAAAATTTGAACAGCGAGAAAAATTTAGAAGCCTTTTTTTTTTTTAGCAGGAAATATAAATAAAACTTAGAATATTCAGGCTTGAGGGATACATTATTTGATATGTTGTGTTATCAATTCCAATCCAAGATAATTCAGAATTTCAGCTATTGAATAGTAGTAAGCCTCTATATGATTGAGATCCTCATTATTAAAAGCTACAAATATGCCAACTGCACTTGCATATTCAACCAGAGTGTGACCAATGTAAGTCTGTTCTTTGAAATAAACAGCTGCACCACTATCTCCAAAATGTACACGATTCGCTCCCGTGTCTATTATGTTTAGACCTTCTAAATATAGATAATTGGCTGGATCCCATTTATTATATACGATTAGTGATTGATCCGTATCTACAAGTTTTCCACACACAATGTTACTTGTGGCACCAGTTAAACATAATGGGGAATCTAGCGAAAGAGAAATAGCTGAAAGAATTGGAAGTGAGACAGAACCTTCTTTACCTGGCCCTATAACACTAGGTGAACCTTTCCACCCGTAAGCCAGTTTTATAAGACCATAATCCACGCCATCTCCATATGTAGTACTAATAATTTCTCCTACTCGTGCGCCATCACTATTTAATATATGAACTGGATCTCCTATGGTATTATTTGTGGTGCAATGACCAGCAATTAACAGACCATCGGAGTCTCCCAGAATTTTTCCTTTTACTGCAAAACCAGTTGTGCATATTATCTTCCCTCCAATATCTACTGGTAGGGGTAGTACTGCTGAATATACCAAATTAAAAAATGATAATAGGTATAGTATAAAGTAAAAATAGTTTTTTTTCATCTTTATTTTATAAAAATAATCAAAATATTCTCGAAGATAGAATTTTTATTAGCAAACTAACAATTTAGCAAATAATAAGCAAAATTTATTAACTAAAAAAGTGGATTTTTATATTTATCGAAATATTCACTAGAATTAGAAGTATATAGAAAAATAGTTATGATTTTTAAGTCATACATCCAGTTCACATTGTTCTTATATATTTTTTTCTGCTTGGATTTCATTATGAAAAATTGACTATAAAATAAAGTTCATTATAGCGTTACTTTACTTAATGTTCATTACAGAAAGGGTCGTTATAGAAAGGTTCGTTATAGAGATGTTCATATTAATGTATAGTATGAACTAAAAATGGTCACCGACTTAATAAATCATCGAATCCGAGATGCTGAAATTAATTTTCATTGTTGCCGAAATTACTTTTTTTCAAGTTTAGGCACGTATAGTATGAATTACTTAATTTCTTGGTGGCACCAGTGATTTTTCAGAGTTATGTACAATTACTAAACTAATTACGTCCAGCATTTTAAACTGGATTTTTGATATACGGATTTTTGCCTATCCGTATAGCGCAGTGTTGTTGATTAGAAGCTTCCAATCAGTTTTATTGAAATTGGAATATCTTTTGGAATTTTCTGGAAGAATTGGAATTGTAAAGCTTCCAATAAAAAAAAAATCAATTGGATTGGAATGTTCCAATGTTTTATTTGGAACGTTAAATGCATTTAAATAAGAATCATCTGATCTTTAACCAATAAAATTTCAATTTAAAATTTTTTTTGTTATTAAACAAAATGAAATCTCATCGATTAACAAAATATATTGCAACTATTGGCAAGCAAAATAAATATAATACAACTGCTATTTGCAAAGCATATGTTGAACTTTTGGATTATGAAGAAGCCTTAAGAAATTTGTTTACTAACAAAAAACAACAAGTTAAAAATCATTTAAAAATTGTTCACAATTTCTTCAAAAAATTGGTAATAAAGAAGCTGTTGAAGAAATAATTAATATAAGTGATGATGAAAGTGAACAAGCAAAAAGTCGTAAACATACTGGTATTGAACCAGAACATGAATTAAGTAAGAAAATTTTTAATATTATATAGATAATTCACATTTAATTAATATATTGCTTATTTTACAGATGATATACAATCAATTTGATCATCTGCATCTTCATCTTGACCATTAATGAAAAAACAAAAAAATACAATTAGTAATTTTACAATTCGCAATTTAACAAAAAAAGAAGTACCAAAATTTGAACAATTATTATTACGTATAACAGTATTTAATGACTTTTCTTTACAATGGATTGATAATAAAACTACTCATGAATTTTTTGCATTTTTAAATTCCAATCTTAAATTGCCTGGTAAATATTCATTATCTAATCAAATTTTACTAACAGAAACATCAAATTTAATTAAATCACAAAATGAAAAATTATATAATGATAAAATTGACGTAATATTAGCATTTGATAGATGGAAGAATATATTAAAACAATATATATTTGATTATTTATTTATAACTTTTTATGATGAAATATTAATTTGAAAATCATTAGATATTAGTTTTGAGCATGAGCGTATTACTGATATTATTTCAAAAGTAGAGGAATTGATTAAAGAAAATCAAGAAATAGAAGTTACTTTAAATACAATTGTATCTGATAGTACACTTGCTTATGCTGGATTATGGTATATAATTTTAATTTATTATCATTATTATTATTATAAATAAATATATATTTTTAATTAGATACCATTTACAATTAAAATATTTCAATATTTCTTTTCTTCCCTGTTTTGCACATCAATTGCAATTGCTATTTGTGATATTTTTAAAGAATCAAATTATCTAAAACAAGTATCAAAAAAAGTATTAACAGTTGTAGCATATTTTAAAAATTCCAATAATAGTTTTTTTATTGGCAAATTGTGAGACACTGGTAAAAAATTGATAAATTATACATATATCAGGTACCTAATATAGGGTTAGAAATCGTCTTAATATTTAGACTTGATTAATTATCATGAATAATTGACGAATAATCGTGAATAATTGTTAATTATTCACAATTATTCGTAATTCTTTGACGATTATTCACGATTATTCAACGATTATTCACGATTATTCAACAATTATTTGATGATTATTCAATGATTATTCAACGATTATTTGACAATTATTCGTGATTATTCAACAATTATTCACGATTATTCAATGATTATTCACAAATATTCAATGATTATTTACAGATTTTTGCAC